GAGTGAGTGAGTGAGTGAGTGAGTGAGTGAGTGAGTGAGTGAGTGAGTGAGTGAGAGACGGAGTGAGTGAGGGACGGAATGAGTGAGTGAGTGAGTGAGTGAGTGAGTGAGTGAGTGAGTGAATGAGTGAGTGAGTGAGTGAGTGAGTAAGTGAGTGAGTGAGTAAGTGAGTGAGTGAGGGAGGGAGTGAGTGAGTGAATGAGTGAGAAAACAAATAACAATACCCTACCTCCTTGAACCTGCACAGGCAAAGGTTGAGCGTAATGGGACGTCTTGCCGTTCACGGTAATTCTGCAAGTGTAACTTCCAAAATCTGCCGCAGACAAGGAAGATATCTGGAAAACACAACCAAGAACACTGATGATAATAATAATAATAATAGTAATAATAATAATAATAATAATAATAATAATAATAATTTCACTTCTATAGCGCATATAGCAGGCTCAATGAGCTTTACAACTGGACGGATCAGTTCAAGAAACTCGTATGCCACATTTTTCTTAAAATGGACTTTCTTGCTTTTCATGGCCGCAAATCTTTTTCCGTCACATGACATTTTTCGGTATAAGGATCGGAGTGTAAATAAGTTATTTATATAACGATTCTGTGACCTACCATGATTTTCTCTCTATCTCTACATGTTACGTTTGGGAAAGCTCGTACCTTTGGCAGCCGGAAGTTTCCCAACCACTGAACTTTCGAATTTGACCAAATTATGGTGGGTCAGAATCATGTACAGGGTGCACAGTTTCATTGGGGAGCTTGAATTCACTGTTGTTTAATTTGCAGTTTTTCATTAGTTTCGTTTAGATCTAATCTTGGGAAAGTCCATTTTATAGGATGCCATTGTAAACAAGTGAGGTTTCCATTTACTAGCTGTTCGCATTGTTTCCACGCCTTTGAAATTATGAAGTGTTCAACCAGGAAGGCGGAATAGAGAGAGAATCAATCTATACATCTATTATATATTTGGCAACTTGGAAACACATGACATGTGTCTCAAGGTTTATTGCTCCATTCCTGTAGAGTGTAAATATCGTAGGCCAATGACTTTCAGTTGATGTTAGATCATTCCTTTCATCGAAAGGGGGCAAAACTAGTTTTTAATATTACTATTCATTTACATTGTACATGTGGCTGTGAGCATGCTTATGAGTTGACGCATACTGTTATATAATAATAATGGTTATGTGCACAGAATTGTGCGGAAGAGAGAAGAGTGTGTGTGTGTATATATGGGTGTGCACATGTGCATGTGTATGCGTGTGTGGGCATGTTTGTGCGAGCCAGTCACATAAAAGTGACAAGCTCCCCCGGAGCGGTGCCACTGACTGAAGTGTCTTTCGGCCATTCCCAAAGGGGTGACATTTCTCGTTCTTATGCAGAGTAGAATTGTAAATGGGCTAATTCAACAATGTCATGCTCATAACTGTGCCTGATCTACAACAGGGAACTGGTATTTTTTCTTTCCTAATTCTTTTTATTGTTATTTTCCTCTTCTTCTTTTGTATGTTTGTCACACTCTTGTGACCCGCTATTTCCGGGGTGCCTTGAAAGTTGAAAAACAGACATTGTGCTGTTGAAGCTAGAGAGGTGAGCAGAATAAGCCCGATTCCATGTAAAGACTTCTCTGTTGACATCAAGCCCTTGCTTGCGCCCATATGACCTTATGCAGTTGCGAGGGCCGTAAAACCTCTAAAACAAAACGGATGTGTGTGGAAGAGAGAAGAGTGTGTGTGTGTGTATGGGAGTCCACATGTGCGAGCGTATGCGTGTGTGTGCATATATGTTTGTGTGTGCATGTATGTTTGTGTGTGCATGTATGTTTGTGTGTGCCAATTACACAAAAGTGACAAGGTGTGAACCAAACAAACCAAACTGACCACGTAAGTGGAGGAGTTGGACGGGAGAACGTGGACGTCTTTGTTCCACCTGTAGGTAGCCGCGGCCACACTTGTAGTAGACGTACAGGTCAGCGTGTAACGGCCGCCCAGCTCCAAGTCTGTCACGTTACGCACTACCCTGGGAGGGTCAGGTGAGACTGAAAGAGAGCAGAGATTGGAAGAAGAAAACATCACCACCATCATCATCATCATCATCATCATCATCATCATCATCACCATCACCATCACCATCATCATCATCATCATCATCATCATCATCATCATCATCATCATTGTCGTCACCTGAGATGGTAAAAGAACTTTGTGAATGAAAAGCTCAGCCCACGTTGCGAAGATGCGGCCATGAAAAGGAGGATGTCAAACATATGTGAATGGTGCTGACAAAATGAGTTAATTCTCGGATTCGAGCCCTATGGAAATCGCTACATCACGCTTAGAGGTGACGTTTTTACAATTTATAAGCATGAAATAATATAAGGCATGATATACTTAAAGAATATGATATCAATGGAAAATCTACAAATTTGACCCCAGTGTCCATTTTTGGCCAATATCCCCATTTGTGGATTGTGAGAAGTAACTCATTTTGTCAGCACGTCTTACATATGTTTGAAAGTCCAGGAACAATGGCAATTTGAATGGAGTTATTCGGGCGAATGGAGGTGACTCTAAGTATAATGACAGTGGAGCCGAAAGAGAGCAACAACTGCTGCATACAGCCTCAAATCACAGTGGAGCCGAAAAAGAGCCTCGCTCTCGCTCGAAGATTTCTTCGTGGAGTACTCCAGGCCAATTAAGGGAACCAAATAATTCATCGTCGTCATCGCCATTGTCATCATTGTCGTCATCATCATCATCATCATCATCCTCATCATCATCATCATCATCATCATCATCACCATCATCATCATCATCATCATTATCATCATCGTCATCATCATCACCATCTTGTTGTATTTGTTGTATTTGTTGTTGTTGTATTTGTTGTTGTTGTTGTTGTTCTTCTTCTTCTTCTTCTTCTTCTTCTTCTCCTTCTTTTTCTTCTTCTTCTTCTTCTTCTTCTTCTTCTTCTTCTTCTTCTTCTTCTTCTTCAAAAGTGCCACATGTGCAGCAGACATCGACCGTCATGGTTCTCCTCAAACATCTTAAAATCCCCATTGAGACCAAAGCCAAGCTCATCGACTCTATCGTCACCCCCACCTTGACCTACCAATACCAGACACCGACCCTGACCAAAATTCTGGGACGCAAGAAAACCACCAACAAGATGAGACGTCTAAGGAGAGCCGTCAACAAAACCAGACATAGTCAGAAACAACAAGATCAGAGAAATGACGGGAACATTAACCTGATCTCCACTACATCCGAAGGCAAACAATCAGGTGGTTTGGACATCTGACACGTATGCCAGTAGAGCGTACTACAAAAGAATATCAGGGCACCAAGCAAAAAGGAGGACCAAGGAAGATCTTGATCGAGGGTGTGAGGGATACTATACTGAATACACGCAACATCCCACCCTGTCAGGCCATTTAGCTTGCCAGAGACAGAAAGCTTTTTCTCCTCCCCTCGACGCCCTAGATGGTACAAGATCAAGTATAAGGCTGAAAACACGCAGGCTCCATACAGGCCATATTTTTCCGAGCCATAAAAATTCTGTAAAGAAAAGTGCGGTTATACTGTTCACACTGGGTCCATACAGACCATACAAATTATTCCGGTTTCAAGATGGCGCTCACGAGGAAGCGCAAGATGTTTCTGCTTAGGTGGTACAAAAGAAAAGCCCTAGCATCCAAAACGGCGTCACTGGATTCACCCAATTTGTCAAGACCGGAGAGCTTTGGGAGAATTCAAATTGTTGCCCCAAATATTTGCTGATGTTGAGAAATGTTTGGAATATTTTCGAATGACGCCAACAACACTTCAATCCTTGTTGGGGTTATGTGCCAGTGGGCTTTAGAAACAAACACAAACTGGAGGAAATCAATAACACCACAGGAAAGATTGGTGGTCAAACTAAGGTACCACGTGCGAAGTGTGTAGCGGAGTGTGTATGCCGGCGTGTTTTGTGACGTCAGCTCCCCTATTCTGTCCGCACAGACCAGAAAATGTAGGCCTATGGTATGCTTGAGGCAATCCAGATTGTGCAGTGGACGGAAAAAAATCTGGACGCAGCGGTCTGGCTGCTGTGTGCATGTTAAGTTGTAAAATGCTCGCTTTTAAGGACAAGTGGGCTAACCCAGGTTTCGGGGGTTTCCAGAAATCTTAACCTACACCAAAAGTAGGTATTGCTCTACCGATAGGAGAAGTTTGGTTTCGTTGGTGTGTATATTAGTTTGGTTAAAGAGAACTCTCTCCTTGTCTTTTAAAGGAACCTAACAAGGGGCAAAATCTTTACCTTCGATTTTCTCAAAACGGCCTTTTTCGGGATAGCCCCCCTTGTGCTTAAAAACGACCAAATATAATGTTGGGCGCAAACGCACTTTTTATGTCTGGTTTGTATGGAGCCTGTGTGTGAGAGCTCTAAAGTAAAGCACCGTAAAGTAAGTTGTCGGTTACTCACAACAAGGCCAACTGGCTCTGTGGTGTAGCGGTTAAGCGCTTTGCTGTCGCACCCAGGAGACCTGAGTTCCATTCCAGTGGGATGCTAATTGGTCGCTTTTAAGCACAAGTGGGCTATCTCCCCCCAAAGTGTTGTTTGGAGAAAATCAAAGTAAAATTTTTTACCCCTTGTTTCGGTTTCTTTTTTTTAAAGAGACATTTTTCTCTAAGCAAACAATTAATATACCCCCAATGAAACTAAACTTCTCCTATATGTAGGGCAAAGCCAACTTTTGGTGTAGGTCAAGATTTGTGGAAACCCCCGAAATCTGGGTTAGCCTGCTTGCCCTTAAAAGCGACCAGTTTTTAAGGAATAATTCGGTCTCTGTGCCGGCAGGTCGTATCCCTCTCAGCTCGCGTTGGCCCGGACAGGCAGGGTGGAAGTCTGCCCCCTCAATGGTCTTAACTTTGTTTGTCTATAGAGGCGTAAATACACAACACAAGTCGTGTCTAAAAAACAAAAAGCAATGTCATTTTGCACCAGGCAGCTCACCAGGAATCCACTCACTACAAACCTGTCCCATGCCCCAGACACGAACAAAGATAATGGATAGTACAATGTATTCTATCATTGGTCCAACGATAGGCAGAGAGACACACAACGATATGTAGAGACACCTAACGATATGCAGAGAGACACAACGATATGCAGAGAGACATAACGATATGCAGAGAGACACAACGATATGCAGAGAGACATAACGATATGCAGAGACACACAACGATATACAGAGACCCATAACGATATGCAGAGAGACACAATGATATGCAGAGAGACACAACGATATGCAGAGAGACACAACGATATGCAAAGGGACACAACGATAGGCAGAGAGACACAACAATATGCAGAGGGACACAACGATAGGCAGAGAAACACAAAACTCTATGGGGGCATGGAGAACTTGCGGTGAACTGCAGCTTTCGTAGTAGAAATTGTGGGGGAGTAGAAGAAGAAGAAGAAGAAGAAGCAGAAGAAGAAGAAGAAGAAGAAGAAGAAGAAGAAGAAGAAGAAGAAGAAGAAGAAGAAGAAGAAGAAGAAGAAGAAGAAGAAGAAGAAGAACAACAACAACAACAACAACAACAACAACAACAACAACAACAACAACAGCAGCAGCAACAACAAGAACAGCAACAAGAACAAGAACAAGAAGAACAAGAACCAGAAGAAAGCGGAGGAGGAGGAGGAGGAGGAGGAGGAGGAGGAGGAGGAGGAGGAGGAGGAAAAGGTCCTATTTCTGTTGCAAGCGCTGTGAAACTTTAACCCAAACTAAAGGAATGCCACGCTACTCACCGCAGCCATTCGCCACCAGCTTGGCCCCCAGTGAGCACTCAAAGCGGCCAGCGATACAGTTCCCAGTGTACGCATCTCCTTGACCCTGGTACTGCTGCTTAGTGACGTCATCAACGTCACAGACCAGCCCCTTAGCTGTGGAAAAAACCCAAACACATTTCGTTCTTTTTTTAGTAAGAGTTTTACTGCACTTGCAACACAATAAGGTGATATAAGTGCCGAATATTAGAGGTGTTACGAGAGAGTAATAAACACAAAAAAGAAGGAGAGATCAGGATGATAGATGTTTAATAGGAAAGTAGGAGCAAACCACACCAGAGCACCCACCAACCACACACCCAAACACATTAAAAGTAATAAAGGAGAAACGCAAACTACACTTAATAATGGTGTTTGGTTGGCGGGTGCTCTGGTGTGATTTGCTCCTTCTTTCCTATCCAACATCTCTCTTCGTTTTCTCCCCTCCTTCATTTTTGTGTTTGTTACTCTCTTGCAACACCTCTAGTCTTCAACACTTATATAATCTTACTGTGTTGCAAGTGCTGTAAAATACTTACTAAAACAATTTTTTTAAACGTATTAATAATAAATAAATGAAATTTATATAGCGCTCAACCTCCGATGAAAGTACACGTATACAGGCTCTGGGCACTTCACTGAACCCTATGGGGAACTAGGGGTTACACTGACAAATATACACACAAAGATATTGTGGCGTCGGTGGCCTAGTGGTTACCCTCTCGGACTCGCAACCGTAAGGTCGTGGGTTCGAATCCCATCAAGGACCCGACGCTGTGTCCTTGGGAAAGGCACTTTGCACAAATTTTCCTCACTTCACCCAGGTGGAAAAGGGTACCCGGCTATAGACAGTGAACGATCTTGTCAGTTTGATAGTGTTTGAGCGCGTGAAATCCGCAGCTTGCACCGTAAGCTTCCGCGGAAGCCAAGAGTGTTTCTAAGTGTCCTCAGAGGGTCTGCTGGGGTAATAATAGTTGCAAAGCGCATAGAGCATGCTCTTGAGTATGGATATGCACTATATAAATGCAATTTATTATTATTATTATTAATATTATTATTATTATTATTATTATTATTATTATTATTATTATCTAGATCTATATATTATTTTTGTGAAAGTTCGTGACTTTGGTCTCGTAAAACTTCCGAACCACTTAACTTTTGAATTTGAAAAAAAATATCGGTGGTTCAGAATCATTTAAAGGGTGCACAGTTATATTAGGGAGCCCAAAGTCGCTGTAGCTTAATTTTCAGTTTTTCATTAGTTTCGTTTATATCTAATCTTGGGAAAGTCCGTCTTCTAAGATACCTTTAAAGTAAACAAATGAGGCTTCCGTTCACAAGCAGTGCGCACTGTTTCCACAATGACTTGACGATCGATCCTTTAGAGTCCGTTCACTGAGCGGGTATTCAGATAGTTGTACATAATTCAACACACGGATATACACAGGATGATAGATGTTTAATAGGAAAGTAGGAGCAAACCACACCAGAGCACCTACCAACTACCCACCCAAACACATTAAAAGTAATAAAGGAGAAACACAAACTACACTTAATAATGGTGTGCGGTTGGCGGCTGCTCTGGTGTGATTTGCTCCTTCTTTCCTATCAAACATCTATCTTAAATATTAAACCAATGCAGAACAATTTTTCGAACGTATGTCATTGCTGATCGCCACTGTGCAGTGTCCTGTTTTTGCTTGTTTGTTTGTTTGTTTATTTGTTTGTTTGTTTGTTACGTTGGTTTGGGTTTTTTAGGGGGAGGAGTGTTGTTGTAGTTTTTTATGTTTTATTATTATTTATTATTATTATTGTGTCACATTGATAGCCTCAAAGCTTGACTGTTATCCAGTTCTTTTATTACCTATTTGTTAAGAAACGTTATCAACTAATGAGTGCTGTTGAACGAGTATCTTTTGACGAGGATGTCTAGAACTGGGGGACCAATTCTATCCGTAATCTCGAAAAACAAACGTGTTTGATTTTGAAGATCACAGATGAACATTGTTGAAATCGGTCGTATTGTGCCAAAACACTGTCATTTTCTTTGCCCAATCAATAAAGGAAATTTTGCCTGTCCTGAACCCAGTCAAAATAGGAATCTGAGTGGCAGTCGTTTCGGTGAAGTGTAAGTGGCTTATTGCTCTTTCTTTCCTATCAAACATCTGCTATTATCCTTGCCCCCCCCCCCCTAATTCTTTCATTTGTGTGCTACTCTCATGTAGTAACACAACTAGTCTTCGACACTTGCATTGCCCGTTTGTGTTGCAAAAGTCGTAAAACTCTTACTGAAACTAAAATATGAAACCAAGCAGTGTGCACTGGCTTATAGATGAAAGAGACATTTGAGCAGGACATACTGTTGAAGACAGGTCAGTGGCATTAAAGAGGCCTGTGGGGGGGGGGGGGGGGGGGGGGGGGCCCCCGGGGCCTAGAGGTTAAGGTGTTGGCCTCTCACTCAAAGGTCCCGGGTTCGAATCCGGGTTGTGACCGAAAATAGTTTCTTCTCTAAATTTGTCTCCTTTGACCTCCTTCCCAGCTCTCTAGCAATGTTCTGTCGTCTGCTTTCGTTTCCTCTTTCTGCCCCCACTCCCTCATCTCCTTTGCCCCCCCCCCCCCCTTTCTCTGGGCTCCTGACTCTTTCTACAGCCGTTCTACTGCTACTCCTTGGCTTCTTCTTACTGCTGTCTTTCAGCTACACCCCTGATTTTCTGATAGGAAATATCTACACCTAGCCTTCTCGGACAAGGGCGAAAAATTCTCGGAGGGCCCGTGTGCAAGTTGCGCACGTTAAAGATCCCTTGGTGGTCTAAAATCGATAAGAGTAGGCTTCGGCCGCCACCCGGGCAAAATTCAAAATTTCCTACCAACTAAAAATGTTTAATGTGTCCTGCGCGCTCATATGACCTTATGCAGTTGCGAGCGCCGTAAAACACTTATAAAAACAAACAAACAAAGAGGCCAGTTCTGGAGATTATTTTAAAAGACAGTATGTCCAGATATTTCCAATTTTTGACGAAATTGTGTTATTGATTCATGACATTTTAAAACACGGCTCCTCACATTTCGGCGTAGTCTGCTATCGATATCGTAAAATATTCCAATGTAAAGCGCATTGAGCTACTTTTTTGGAAATGCGCTATATAAATGTTTTAAATTATTATTATTATTATTATTATTATTATTATTATTATTATTATTATTTTATTATTATTATTATGATAATATAAGGTAGGGAAAGTGTTTCGAAAATATTCAAAGCAAATGGCAGTTGAAAGGCAAAAATGTGTTTGGTTTTTGTTAGCTTTTTTTTCTCCTGAACTTTTCACGAAACCTGATAGATCTGTTATACAGAGAAAATCAAACAACAGCCTACGGAGATCAATGAAGTAGAATCATCAGAATATTAATAATGAAGATCATTTCTATAGCGCCCACTCCCGTGTAAACCCAGCTTTAGGCGCTTTACATAAATGCATGTACGAGCAATATTCACGCACGCAACAAACACACACACACAAATACACACACTCAGACACACACACAAACACACACACATATACACATACACACACACTAACACACACACACACACACACTCACGAACACATAACACGCGCACCTGTGCACACACATGTACGCCAAACATACACACAAACACACACAAACACACACAAACACACACACACACGCACGCACACACACACACACACACACACACACATGCGCACACGCACACACACACACAGACACACACACAGACACACACACACACATCTACTTGCTTATCACACGCACACGCTTACACATCGTCACGAAATGAGCATAAAATAATATACACAATGCAATTCACAAAATACATAAATGGATACATAGTTATTTACATAACATTGTATTGAGTATTGAGTATGAATCTACTGACATGAAAAGGATGTCATTAAATGTGTCTTTAAAGATTGTTTGAATTTAGACTCAGATGTTGTATGTCTCAAGGGTTGGGGAAGAGAGTTCCAAATTGACGGAGCAAGGTGGGCGAACGATCTTTCAGCTAATTTTTTACCCCCTTTTCTAGGAACTCTTAAAAGATACTTATCACCTGGTCTTAGTGATCTAGATGGAACATAAATCTGGATGAGATCACTAAAATATGAGGGAGCTTTGTTATTGACACATTTATGACATAATATTGCAATTTTATATGACATTCTAGCTCACACGGGAAGCCAATGCAACGTTCTTAACATGGGCGTAATGTGGTCCCTTTTCTTTTTCCTTAGTACAAGCCTAGCAGCATGATTTTGAAAACGTTGTAACTTGTGAAGAGTGGTATTTGGTAAGTATGCATAATCCATAAAGTACGGTTCAGTTGAATTCAATTCAATTCAATTCAATTCAATTCATGCGTTCATTCAATTCAGTTCAATTCAGTTCAATTATTTCAATTCAGTTCAATTATTTCAATTCATTCAAATAATTTAATTCTTTCACTCATTCAGTTCATACCTCCGGGTTTATCCACTACCAAGGATGACGAGGAGTTTACGGTCTTGTTACCCAACGTGATAGAGCAATTATAGGTTCCGGCATTCTCAGCGGCCATGGAGGATATCTGGGGAAGGAGAAAAGTACTGTCAGCTTAGATTTAGTAAGAGTTTTACGGCACTTGCCAAAGATAAGAGGTTTTACAAGAGAGTAACAAACTCAAAAAAGAAGGAGGAGAGATAAGCGTGATAGACTTTTTATAGGGGAGAAAGAGCAAATCACACCTGAGCACCCGCCAACCACCCATTAAGAACGATAAGCCATAGCACGGTGGAATCAGGCGCTTGTCAGTTTTGGGGTATGTGGCGTTATTGGTTATTTTCTAAAGCGTGTTCACTTATCTTGCTTTCGATTTTTTTTTAAATGCTCATCTATCTGGAATAGAAGTCGAGAAATTTGTGATTGAAGGAGGTGGGGTCTCCTAGTTTCAGAGGTAAAATTGGATTTTTAAAATGGTCACCAAAGTTTCTCCTCAGCTTGAGAGTCCTTGAAAACGGAAGATTTCAATTTTGTTGTGCATTTAATCAAGGTTTCTCAGTAAAATCCACCCAGAAATGTGTTGTAAATGTATATCATTGTGTTGAATGATTATTTTTGTTTTGTTTAAATCGAGAACAATTATTGACACACCGGCGGGGAAAATGCTGGTTATCTGGATTTCCTTATTTTGACAAGAGCCTGATTTCACCATGATGCCTTCCAATGTTCAACAAATCAACCAGAATAAATCCGCGTCAGTTTTAGGTCGGGAAGAATATTAGACTAAAAACTAGCACCTTGATAGTTTCTAAGAATACGCCTTTAAAATGAATACAACAACAACAAAAAAACATGTTCTAACGTACTGGTAAAAAAGGGTACTGGAAATAATATGAAAGTTGAACCAAGCAGAATACAATAGCAACTTAACAAAGAACATAATCCTATTTTTCTGAGCCCTGCATTGAACCTACACTCGACAAAGCGGAGAGCTGGACAGTCTGAATTTGGTTCCGAAATCGATCTTTGGTGTTAAATTATAAATTATGGTCGCTTTTAAGCACAAGGGGGCTATCCCGAAAAAAGCTGTTTTGAGAAAATTGAAGGTAAAGTTTCTTTAAAAGACAAGGATAAAAGTAAAGTAAAGCTATCAGGATATTCAGAGAATGCATTCGAAAAAGCTTGCCCGTTGTGAAACTAAAATTTAAAAAAAATTTAAGGTCAAATTAAAAATTTCTCAAAACTTGGTCGTGAGCAGATAGAGCTTTGTGATAATTCTAGTATTTCTAGGGTAGCGCAAAGGCCAACCAAACTCACCAAATAGGTGCGGGAAGTGGAAGGGAGGTCGACGCCATCTTTTGTCCACTTGTAAGTAGCAGTGGCTAGAGGCGTGAGGGAGTCGCATGTCAGGGTGTATCTTCCCCCGAGGTGCAGCGGATAGGCGCTAGTACGTACGCGAGGAGCGATGGGAGAATCTGATGAGGAGAGAAGGAGGGAAATATTTATTATTATTGCAACTTAGGGAGACCTTGATGAGGAGAGAAGGAGGGAAATATTTATTTTTATTGCAACTTAGGGACAACGTGATGAGGAGAGAAGGGGGGGGGGGTATTCATTATTATTGCAACTTAGGGAGACCTTGATGAGGAGAGAAGGAGGGAAATATTTATTATTATTGCAACTTAGGGAGACCTTGATGAGGAGAGAAGGAGGGAAATATTTATTTTTATTGCAACTTAGGGAGACCTTGATGAAGAGAGATGGAGGGAAATATTTTTTATTATTGCAACTTAGGGAGACCTTGATGAGGAGAGAAGGAGGGAAATATTTATTTTTATTGCAACTTAGGGACAACGTGATGAGGAGAGAAGGGGGGGGGGGATATTTATTATTATTGCAACTTAGGGAGAACCTTTTGAGGAGAGAAGGGGGAAAATGGCCTGTGTTATGACGCAGTGGGATCAGGCGCTCGTCAATTTTGGGGCATACGGAGTTATTGGTATCATCTTAAAGCTTTCATCATGTTTCTTGATTTCAATTTTTAAAGTACCCATCTATCTTGAATAGAAGTCAAGATATTTGCAATTGAAAGATGTAAAAGTTGAATGGTTTCAGATGTAAAACTATGGAGAAAATTGCAGCCCAAGTTTGATAACTTCTATAGATTGAGAGTCCTTTTGAAAAGAACATTTAGTTTTTGTGCCTTAAACGAAAGCTTTTCAGTAAAAACCCACACTAAAATGTGTTTTAAATTGGCATAGAAGGTGTTGAGCCAAAAATAAAGGGTTTAAACATTTGACTCAGCGATGGAAAAATGTCGTTTTCTTTGATTGAATTATTCTGATGATAGGTTGTTTTCACTTCGATGCCTCACAATTCACTTATCTCCCTCCACCTCAGTGCCGGGGTCTCAAACTCAAGGCCCTCTGGCCAAATCGCTACCTCAAAATTACAATATTCTACTTGACATTTTGGGCCGTCTTGACTTACTAAGACCGTGAGGTCAGAAACCATCAATGTTTTAAACTGCTCTGTCAAAAACTTAATATATATATATATGTGTGTGTGTGTGTGTGTGTGTGTGTGTGTGTGTGTGTGTGTGTGTGTGTGTGTGTGTGTGTGTGTGTGTATGTGTGTGCGTGTCGCGACGAAGTGGAATCAGGCGCTCGTCAATTTTTTGACATGAGTTATTTGTATCATCTTAAAGCCTGTAAATCTGCCTTCCTTTTGGTAAAAAAAATCAATCTACTTTGAAAAGAAGTCGGGATATTAAGCGATTGAAGGAGGTGGGCTTTGCCTCGTTTTAGAGGTAAAAATAGCGAGAAAATGGCCGGCAAAGTTTGGTTCCCTCCATAGCTTAAGATTAAGAGTCCTTGGAACCTGAAAATGTACATGTTTTGTGCCTTTAATCAATCTTTTTTTTTTTAAGGGAAAATTTACTCAAAAATGTACATTTAAATGGAACAAAAAAGGTGTTTAACCAAAATGCAAAATTTCTATAAAAGTTGATAAACGGGCAAAAAAATGCCGATTTCTTCGATTTTACTATTTCAACGAGCGCCTGATTTCACCACGATGCTTCACCTATTATTGCAACTTATGGAGAACCTCTTGCCGACATTAGTAAATCCAATCCCGTGGCAGCATTGTACATGTATTGAAAACTGCAGACTGCCTTGACGACGTCGACCAAAGACTTAAAAATGTATGGATCGTTTTTGTAAAGGTAAAAAAGATGGAGAAGTCAAAGATGACGTCACTGAAGACGAAATTAAAACTATAGAAAGGCAATGTCTTGGTAGTACTGACTGGTGGTTCAGAGATGCGGCAAAGAAACAACGCAATTCAAAGATAATCTAAAAGCTTTCAAACAAACTGTTTACGAAGCATTTTACAAATAAAATGGAATGAATTTATTACAAAAAATGAAGTGTTGGAAGAAGTTAGCATTGAAAATATCAACACGACCATAAAAAGGAAAAGATGCAGATGTTTAGGACATGTTCTAAGAAGGCCGAAGACATGATTGTCCTCTCAGACATGGTATTGAAGACCAAATGGAAAAAGAAAAGGATATAGACCAACTGAGAGCTATAGAGGTACACTTAGGGATGATGCAATCACCCATGGCCTGGATGTGCCGAAATTGGAGGACGTAGCCACGGACAGACAAGTGTGGCGTCGACTGCTCTCCGCCTTATGTACCTGACGGTATAGGGAGAGAGTGAGTAAGTAAATCAACACTGCTCTCCGCCTTATGTACCTGACGGTATAGGGAGAGAGTAAGTAAGTAAATCAACACTGCTCTCCGCCTTATGTACCTGACGGTATAGGGAGAGAGGAAGTAAGTAAATCAACACTGCTCTCAGCCTTATGTACCTGACGGTATAGGGAGATAGTAAGTAAGTAAATCAACACTGCTCTCAGCCTTATGTACCTGACGGTATAGGGAGATAGTAAATAAGTAAATCAACACTGCTCTCAGTCTCCGCCTTATGTACCTGGTGGTATAGGGAGATAGTAAGTTAATCAACACTGCTCTCCGCCTTATGTATCTGACGGTATAGGGAGAGAGTAAGTAAGGTATTTTACAGTACTTGATTTGTGGGCTACAATAGCTCCGATTCGTGATAGCTTCCGATGGTAAAGAACAGCGTATGTCCTCAACTGACATTAATAAAGACTGAGAAGAGTGGATCAGCTGCACTGTTCTAAATACTTGAAACCTTTTCTGTGAGGAAAATGTATTGGCAATGCACACGATAACCCTATACTGTACCCCAAGAGGCCTCCGTGTGATCTGACTTTGAGACCGCTGCCTTGAAGTGATTCTTACAGTAAAGGGTAAAATGGTTGAGGGTATGATTTTTTGGGGGGTTTTTTAACTTTTAAAATTTAAAACAAAAATTTTTTCTTTTCTTTTCTTTTCTTTTTTTTTTTTTTTTGGGGGGGGGGGGGGAATACACATGTCATGTTTTTTTTCATTATTTTTAGGTGGAGGGATGTGGCCTCAGGATATCAGACCAGTATGTCGCATTGATCACGTTCGCTTACTGGCACGTGAGACAGGTACTTTTGTCCGTTGTGTGTGGTCTATTCTTTTATACAGCTGTGAATACTACGCAATCACTATAGACAGTGAGAATAAAACAGAAGAAAAAGAAACGAGTTTTCTTAGGTGACTGTTGAGAATTTCTTAGAGGGAAAATAAACAAATGAGGTAGTACTTTATGAAGCCCACGTGGGGCGCTTGCAGACAAAAGCGATCAGGAAGAGACGACTGCAGTTTGTAAGACATTCGAACAAACATAAAGGTCTTGAACATCTAGCTCTCACTGGCAAAGTGGAAGGCAAATGAGGCAGGGGTAGACCCAGAGCAACCTACTAGGAAAGCCCAAACAGATGGATGACAGGATAGAACAGAACAACGTAACTTTTTTGAGAGCATCCGAGCAAAGGAATGAACGGAGAACGACAATCGGCGAGGCCTGTTGGAGATCTGGCTCTTGAGATCTTAATAAAGATTTGTTGGGTGTGGTTTGCTTCTTCTTTCCTATCAAACATCTGTCGTCCTTATCTCCCCTCCTTCTTTTTTATGTTTGTTACTCTCTTGTAACACCTCTAATCTTCTGGCGCTCATATGACCTTATGCAGTTGCGAACGCCGTAAAACCTCTACTAAAACAAATAAAAAGATTTGTTTCGCCGCTTAAGTATACAGCCCAACTACACAAAACTTTTTTGCAGGGTAGCACTTATACTTGACATGCAGAGTAATCTGGTTCGAATCCCAAAACGGCTATTTTTTCCTGACTTCTTTTCTATTGTTTCTCAGGTCTCCATTTTCTTAACCCTGCTCATTCGGAGATCAAGGATGTGTCTTGTCGTGGTTGAAAGGACTTTGAAAAACTTGGTATAAGTTATAAGTGAATTCCAACACCCCGTGCATAGCAAGCAAAACATTCAACTTTTTTCAAAGAGAAGCAAGAGAAAATGAAATTTATAAAATGATTTACTGTGGATGAATGGAATCTGTTCATGAATGGGTGAAGAGTGATGAAATGGTACAGGTTTAACGCCCGTATCAACACTGTTAGGTTATTTAAGAGGCGGGGACTCCGGGCTAAATGTCCATGTCCTAAAGGACCGAACCACTCGGGAAATTTGTATAAAGTTTCTTTCCCAAGGACACAACGTCGGACCGAGCTGAGGCTCGAACCCCCCCACC